AACAGGAGAATGCTGTACACAGTAACAGCCACATTGAGTGATGACCGACTTTGATAGACTTAACCCCTCTCAGCAACACAAGGATCTAAGACATCTCCAAAAGCCTCATGATGGAAAATGCTATCTACATCCGAAGAAAGAATTATGGAGTTTGAATGCATATCAAACCAAATCAATGCATACTATTTGTTATTTTTTTCTTCTGTTGTGTTTTGTTTCCTGTTTCTGGTGGTTCCTGCTAGTAGTTCTGATTCTTACTTACAACATCACTAATGTGAAAATATGTTTAATAGAAATGTATATGTATAGCCTATATTAGATTGTGCACTGTCTTGGGGAGGGAGGTAGGGAGGGAAGGGGAGAAAAATTTAAAACTCAAAAGCTTATGGAAGTGATTGTTGATAAATTAAGATAAATTAATAAAAGAGAAATATAATTAAGCAACTCTCTTAGGACATTCAAAACAGAATTTTAACTGATCAAAATTCACTAAACTCACAACTTTTCAAAAAATCTTTATTTTTAGGTTGGTAGAGATTTCTTGGCTAATTAGAGGTCAGGAAATGGAACTAGTTGAATTTGTTCTCTATTATTGTTTTCATGAACAGCTGAAACATTTAGCTTTGTAAAAACAGCAGATACTCCAATATCTAATTGTGAGTCCTAAACTCCATTCCTCATCAAGTAGTTCTGTCTGTGTTCTTCTCTAGAGGTCCCTATAGGATAATTGTCCATCATTCTGACTGTAGTTGAAATTTAGAATGGATCTCCTTGCAGAGAGACCTGTCCTCTCAGATTCCTCATTGGCTGGACCCATCTATTTCCAGAGGCACATATGCTGATGTGGCAAAGGAGACAGCAAAGTTAGCCACGTCATGGAGGGAACATCTTAATTTGATGAAAAGTCCCTAGAGGAGAACTAATTTATTTATTTTTTCTTTTCTGTCTATCTCTTTGTCTGTGTTTCTATCACCCTGTCTTTCTCTGTTTCCTTTCAGAAATAACTTTTCCAGCTACACAATTCACTTTCTGAGATGCACATCCATGTCTCTTTACTAACCAAATTGACAGATCTAGTGTTTCACCTGTCCAGGGGTAGGTTTTCTCAGCAGCCTCAGGCCATACCTGTTTCCACCTAAAGTGGTTTCTTTGTGTAGCCCAGAATTAGTCAAAAATTTTTCCACATACAATTGATTCTTTCTGAGATATCACATGGGATTATTACTTTTAGTTAGGAAGAAGACTCTACCTTCCTCCAAAGTCTCACTTATTTTATTTTTAAATTTTTAAATTTTTAAAATTTTTTTAAATTAAAAATTTTTTTTCTGTATAAATTTATTTTTAGTTTTCAACATTTACTTCCACAAGATTTTGAATTCCAAATTTTCACCCCATCTTTCCCCTCCCCCCACCCCAAGATGGCATGCATTCTGAATACCACTTCCCCCAGTCTTCCCTCCCTTCTATCTCTCCCCCCACTTCTCTTTTCCCCTTCCCCTTCCACTTTTCCTGCAGGGCAGGATAGATTTCTGTACCTCATTTCCTGTATTTCTTATTTCTCAGCTGCATGTGGAAACATTTTTTTTTTAAACATGTGTTTCTAAAACTCTAGGTTCCAAACTTTCTCCCTTCCTCCCACCCCACCCATCCTCATTGAAAAGGCAAGCAACTCAATACAGGCTATACGTATGCAGTTATGCAAAACACTTCCATAGTAGACATGTGAAAAATTAACTCTATTTCCCTTAATCCTATCTTGCCTCCCCATCTATTCTATTCTTTCTTTTGACCCTGTCCCTCCTCAGAAGTACTTCCTTCTGATTACCCCTTTCCCAATCTGCCCTTCTCTCTATCATCCCCCTGCTCTCTTGTCCCCTTCCTCCTATATTTTCCTGTAGGGTAAGACAGATTTCCATACCCAATTGAGAGTGTATATTATTCCCTTCTTAAGCCAAATCCTATGAGAATAAGATTCCCTCATTTCCTCTCACCTTCCCCTGTTTCTCTTCCACCGTAAGAACCTCTTCTTGTCTGTTTTCTGCGAGATAATGTACCCCATTCTACCTCTCCCTATCTCCTTCTCCTAGTATAATCCTCTCTCATCCCTTAATTTTATTCTCCAGATATGACCCCTTAATCTTCAACTCACCCTGTGCCCTGTATCTATCTATCCATCTATCTACCTATCTATCTATCTATCTATCTATCTATCTATCTATCTATCTATCTATTTATCTATCTGTCTAACCATACATATAATTTTTCCCCCCCTACTACCCGAATACTGACAAAGGTCTCATGAGTTATAAATATCATCTTTCCATGCAGGAATGTAAACAGTTCAACCTTAATAAGTCTCTTATGATTTCTCTTTCCTGTTTACCTCTTTATGTTCTACTTGAGTCTTGTATTTGAAAGTCAAATTTTCTATTCAGCTCTGGTCTTTTCATCAAAAATGCTTGAAAGTCCTCTATTTCACTGAATGACTTTTTTTCCCCCCGAAGCATTATACTCAGTTTTGCTGGGTAGGTGATTCTTGGTTGTAATCCTATCTCCTTTGCCCTCTGGAATATTATATTCCATGCCCTGCGGTCCTTTAATGTAGAAGCTGCTAAATCTTGTGTTATCCTGATTGTGTTTCTACCATACTGAAATTGTTTCTTTCTGGCAGCTTGTAATATTTTCTCCTTGACCTGGGAACTCTGGACTTTGGCTACAATATTCCTAGGAGTTTTCCTTTGGGGATCTCTTTCAGGAGGAGATCTGTGGATTCTTTCAATTTCTATTTTGCCCTGTGGTTCTAATATATCAGGGCAGTTTTCCTTGATAATTTCTTGAAAGATGATGTCTAGGCTCTTTTTTTGATCATGGCTTTCAGATAGTCCAATAATTTTTAAATTTTTCCTTTGAGCATCTCTTTCAGGAGGAGATCAGTGGATTCTTTCAATTTCTGTTTTGCCCTCTGGTTCTAAAATAATTTCTTGAAATATGATGTCTAGGCTCTCTTTTTTGATCATGGCTTTCAGATACTCCAATATTTTTAAATTTTCTCTCCTGGATCTATTTTCCAGTCAGTTGTTTTTCCAATGAGATATTTCACATTGTTTTCTAATTTTTCATTCTTTTGGATTTGTTTTACAGTGTCTTGATTTCTCATAAAGTCACTAGCTTCCAATTGCTCTATTCCAATTTTTAAGGAAGTATTTTCTTCAGTAATCTTTTGGACTTCCTTTTCCATTTGGCCAATTTTTCTTTTTAGGGCATTCTTCTCCTCATTGGCTTTTTGGACCTCTTTTGCCATTTGGGTTAGGCTGTTTTTTAAGGTGTTATTTTCTTCAGTATTTTTTTGGGTCTCCTTTAGCAAGCTGTTGACTTGTTTTTCATGATTTTCTTGCATCACTCTCATTTCTCTTCCCAGTTTTTCCTCTACTTCTCTTACTTGCTTCTCAAAATCCCTTTTGAACTCTTCCAAGGCCTGGGACTGATTCATATTTTTCTTGGAGGTTTTGGATGTGGGAGCTTTGACTTTGTTGTCTTCTTCTGGTTGTATATTTTGATCTTCTTTTTCACCAAAGTAAGATAATATAGTCTGACTCTTTTTGCGAGGTTTGCTCATGATCCCAGCCAACTACTTCAGTTTTAAACTCTTTGTTAAGGTAAGAGTCTGCTTCCATTGTGGACAATGTACTGTCCCAAGCTTCGGGGGTTTGTATAGCTGTTTTCAGAGATACTTGTAGGGACCTGTCAATTTTCAGTTCTTCCAATGTGATATGATAAGGGTTGAGGTGTTTACTCTTTTCCTGCCCTGTGCTCTGGTCTTTGAGTGACTGGCCACAAGCAGTCTTTTCTCTCTTGGAATTGTGAGGAGGGTTTTCTCTTCACTGCCACTACAAGCTGTACCGTGCCAGCACTCCTCCTCACCCCAGGGCCGCCACCCAGAACCGTGACCCAGATCCAAGCATGGGCAAAGCAAAAGATTCCTACCTCAGCACCAGCAAAGAGATCCCTGCAGTCCCCCTCTGATCAGCCACTTGATTCCCCCTCAGTCTGTGGGCCGGGAGCTGAGAATGCAGCCACTGCCCCAGCACCCACGCTCTGCGCTCTGGAGCTCTGACCTACCTCCTATCTCAGCACCACAGAAACAGATTTTTCACACTGACCTTCTAAGTTGTCTGGGCGTTAGTGCATTAAGGAGTCTGGAAACTGCCACAGCTGTCTGTGATTCATTCTTCTGAGTCCTGCTCCGGGTTCACTGCAGCCTGTGCGCCCACAATGAACTGAACTCCTCTACCTGCACGGCGCGATATGCCTTTCTGATCAACCATCCAGGCTGTCTTGGGCTGGAAATTTGTTTCACTCTGTCTTTTTGTGGGTTCTGCTGCTTTAGAAGTTGTTTAGTGCCATTTTTTTACGGGTATTTGGAGGGATTTGGGGGAGAGTTCAAGTAAGTCACTGCTTTCATGCTGCCATTTTGGCTCCACCTCCTCAAGTCTCACTTATTTTACAGAGGAGACTGAAGCTTTATCACCCTTTGACCCATTTTATCTTTCCCTGTAATCATAGGACTCAAACCTGAATATTGTGTAAAAAGCCCAGGACTTATGGTCTAAGGCCATAGGTTTAAGCTCAGAATTACTAGTTTTCGGACCCTGGGCAAGTCATTTCCACCTCTCTATCTCAGTTTCCTGATCTTTAAAATGGGGATACTAGTTCTTTACTTCTTAACTGAGAGGGTTGCCCCAAGGAAAATGCTTTATGAAATGTAAGAGCCCCTGAGAACGTAGGCTCTTCTTATTCAATCAGATTTGATTGTGGGAAGAACTCCTGAGTGGAACACCAAAGGAAAAGATTGGTTGGTGCATACACAAGAACTTTAGGGAGCAATACAGAAATAGTGACCTCTTATTCATAAGTTCTAACTTATGAGGAGTCCTTCCTCTTGGGTCCCTGACCATTCTGACTTGTGTACAAGTCTAAAATATTATCCCTTTGAAATTCAGTTGAAACAAGTTGAAGCTGAGTTGGTTTCCTTCCCATCTGTGTCCAATGCAGGTCTGCCTCTGAGACTAGTCAATGGAGGGGACAGGTGTCACTGTCGAATTGAGGTTCTTTACCAAGGATACTGGGGTACTGTCTGTGATGATGGCTGGGACACAAGAGATGCCAGTGTTGTCTGCAGGCAGCTTAATTGTGGCTATGCAGTGTGAGCCCCAGGAGGTGCCCGATTTGGTCAAGGCTCTGGAAACATTCTCCTGGATGAAGTGAATTGCTCTGGGGCAGAGTCCTACCTGTCCAATTGCCCTCACCATGGGTTCTATGCCCATGAATGTGGCCACAGAGAAGATGCTGGAGTTATTTGCTCTCACTCAGGCAGTGTTTGTTGTTCAGTCATTTTAGGCGTGTCTGACTCTTCACAACCCCATTTGGGATTTTCTTGGCAAAGAGTGGTTTGCCATTTCCTTCCCTAGCTCATTTCATAGATGAGGAAACTGAGGCAAATAAGGTTAAGTGACTTGCCCAGGGTCACATTGCTAGTAAGTGTTTGAGGCTGGATTTGAACTTGGGAAGATGAGTCTTCCTAACTCCAGGCCACTATACCAACTAGCTGTCCCACTTAGGAAGTATCTCTCTGCAAATAGTTTCTTCTCTTTTCATGGGCAGCATTTCCTGAAGAGGCTGATTCAGTGAAATTCTTGCTTCACCAAGAGGACTCTCTATATGCTTCCTTTTACCTTGTCTCTCTTATAGCAGCCTCTAGAGATTTTCATACAAAGCCTGATCAGTCTGATTTTGTTCATTGGAATCATGGCTTCCTCAGTGAATATGATGAGGTCTTCTTCCCTAGCACTGCCTTCAGAAGCTCATAAGCTTGCAGTGATTTCTAGCTGATGAACTCAGAATATGCCAAGATCTTGAAGTCATGCACCAAGCAAGGTTCAATATTTAGCCCTCCTCCTGACAATGACAAGACTGATTTCCTGGCTTCTTGTTAGTGGCAGTACTCATTTTTTCTTGAGTTTTACTTTTGCTACTTTTAATTTTTAAAATGCTAGCTACAAAGCTAAAAAGAGTTCCGTTTTCTGTTTAATTTTTATTTTCACGGCAGGATAGGGCCTAGATGTGATTTTATTGGTAGAGAGAATTTACAGAAGCATCTTGTTCTACCAAGGCAAGTCAATTTCTATACAGTCTTGGGGAGTTGCCTGGGGCACAGATGGGTCATAACTTGTTCAAGGTCACACAGCCAATATGTGTCAGGTACAGGACTTGAACCCAGGTGCTCCTGACTGGGAGGACACCTCAGTCTCCATTGTTCCATGATCTATGTCAATTTCGATTATAAAAGTTTAATTTTGATTTTTAGAAAATGACATATAGACAAATGCTACTATTAATGTATTATATGGGAACAATTTGTGGGAACTTATGGTAATTTATGGAATATGGGAACAACCTGTTTATTAAGTTTTGAAATTTCATATTGTATTTGTGTGACCTATGATTCTGTATTTAATGACCCTTTTACTGTTTCAGCTATTGATAACAAATTTTTATTATGTCCCTTGTATATAAACTTACTTAGAGAAAGCTCTATCCTCTAGAAAGGGGTTCTTAATCTAGAGTCTGCAAACTTTAAAAAATTTTTGGTATCTGTATTTTAATAAAACTGATTTCCTTTGTAATCCTATATATTTTATGCATTTGCACATCATTCTGATAGTAATATTGATAATAATAATAGCTAGTATTTATTTAGTGCTTTAAGGATTTTTATGAAGTGCTTTACAGATGTTATCCATTTGATTCTCACAACAATCCTGCTATTATTACCCTCATTTTACAGAGGAGGAAACTGAGGCAGACAGAGGTTACATGAATTGCCCAAAGTCACATATCCAGTAAATGTTTGAATCTGGATTTGAATGCAGGTCTTCATGACTCCAGGTCTAAGGCTTTATCTGTACCACCTAGACTGCCAAAGGGGTTCAAGAAATGAAAAAAAAATTAAAAATCCCTCAACTAAGAGGAGTTAACTGCTCTCAATCAGTCCTCAGAAATATGAGCTTTCTGGTCCAAGCTTGCATGTATCCCCAGGCCCAAGATTTTGTCTATTTCAATCTTTAAACTGTTTTTTTTTCCCCATATATTTTGGGACTATGGCAGATTAAATATAGGCTTCATTTTTTTAAAGTCCTGGCCTTAGGGAAGTGAATGCATGACCCTTTGTGACCAAGGCTCTAGTTACTACTGGGTAGGAGCATTTGATATTATCATCTCAGCTTTTAGGGCTCAAATTGTACTACAGTATCTTTTGCTTTTCTGGATGCAGGACTTGAGTGGGAGAGGGGAGAGAGAAAAAAATAACATCATTTCACAGATACTCTAGATTCTACCTGCTGTTCCTATTTTCTCAGCTCTTAAAATATCAGTATTACAAAAAAAGTCTTCTTTAATTTTGAGCCTTGGAGCTGTACCCCTACCATTTTGGTGTGATCATATTTGCATGTAATATGCACAATTATTGTATAATGTTTACGGCAATATATTTTAAAACTTGCTTTAGTATCATCCTTTCTGTAAAATTCTACTCTATGTCCTTTTCATTTTTGCCTACATTGACAGTTTTGATATTTTAAGAAATATGTTATAAATAAGATGATATCGAAATGTGACCAACAGGCTAGTGGCTTGCTTTAGGTTTGATTACCATTGGTAATAGTGGTGATGGGGTCTGTGATCTCTATGCAATCCTGGGAGATATCCATAACACACATGGGAAGGAGACTTTCAGAACACTGGTCTTGGAGTCAGCAAGAACAGATATTAACTACTAGCTCTTTGGAGCAGAATGGCCCTTAGAAGTTAATTTATTTCTTTAGGCAGCAATTTCTTTATGTGTGAAATGGGAGTATAACTTACACTGTTGTCCTAATAAAGCTGTTGATAAGAAATTAGAAGGTGTAGTGGATGAAAATAGTGGAGTTAGGGAAATGTGGGTTTGATTCCAATGCCTCTAACACTATTCGAAAATCAAGAAGGTACTTAATCTTGCTCTGTGCCTCAACTTCATCTGTAAACAGGCATAATAAGGAATCATTACTTTATATGGTTGGTATGAATGAGGCTTACATGTGATAAGGTGTGTGAAGTGCTTTGCAAGCCACAAGGTATTTGATAAATGTTGACCCATGATTTTTAAACCCTAAAGCACAACAAAAATGGAAGTTACCCACTACTACTGGCATAAGTGATGCTTGTGGTCCAGGATTGTGTGATCTTAATTCACTGGGATGTTTTTCTCCTCATAGGTATCCAAAGGACTTAGAGGTAGATGGGATTTTAGAGTACATTTGCACAGGAGAAAAGTGAGGCCCAGAGAAATTAACAAAATACTGCTTTCCCCCAAATAATCATCATGATAGTTGGCATTTATATTATGGTGTTTCAAAGTTTGCAAAGCATCTTATCATATGTCACGTCATTTGAGCCTTACAACAGCCATGTGAGATAGGTGCTGTTGTTATTACCATTTTACAGATAAGGACACTGAGACTGGGAGCAGTAAAGTGATCTGCCTAGGGTCACATAAGTAGTGAAGGTCTGAAGTGGGATTCAGATTCAGATTTTCCTGATTCAGACTCAGTGTGACTAGGTGTGTCCTGGAACACCTTATTTTTGATTCCTTCCAAAAGAAGCTATTCTGTCATTCTTAAGAAAAGAGTTACCAATTTTTTGGTGGGTGTAATGGAGCATCTTCTAATTGAGACACGAGACTGAATTAAAATTTTTTTCTTCTAGCAACAATAGCCGGTTCAACTATTTCCTGGAACAGGAAGCCAGTGGTCGCTGGAATAAATAAATCCTTCTATGTAGCCATTGCTTTGTGTGAATTTGATTCACAAGATTGATACAAGAGATATTAAAATAGAAGTATGGTACTTTTTTTTTTTTGCTTAGAAGGTGGTAAATACATTTCAATGAAATTCAGTATACTGTATATTTATTGAACCCTTCATTACATGTAAAAACTTGTGCTTGATTCTAGAGGTACAAAGACAAAAGCAATGATACCCTTCCTACTCTAAAGGGGTTATATTTTATATATCCAAATCCAAATCAAAACTAATGATTGGGGAGAAGAATACATAGGGAGATCAGGGTAGTGGCAGCTGACCTGAAGCCTAAAGACAAATATTCTGATAGGCAGATGTGAGGACCAAGTGCATTCCAGGCACAGGGAAGAAGCCGGCCTGTGTGAAGGCATCTTATTGTTTGTCCTTCATTTTTAAAGAGAACAAATGATATTGCAGGTGGTATCACGACTTGTGTATAAAATTGGATTTAAGTGAGGCAGAGTTACACAAAGTCATTAGCTTCACTCTCTTCCTGAGTCATCAAAGTCCAGGAGCAAGGCAAAAGTCAAGATGATTGGTGATAGTCCTGGATGCAGTCTCTAGAAGGGGTAGATTCCTTGTGGGTGAAACCATATTCAGGAATCATTCTAGAAGTAGTCAAGTCAATGACCACTTTTTATTTCTCTTGCAAGAGAAATAGGGTGGTTCAAATCAGCTCTCAGATAGGAACCTTTTTTTTTTTCTAAACATTATCTGGAGTACAAAAGAAGTCCTCTTTTTTCTTACTTTTTTCCTCTTTTCTTTCCTTCTTGCCTTCATTCATTCTTTTCTCCCTCTCTATTTCTTCCTTTACTTTGCCTTTTTAATCTTTCCTCTTTTTTTTCTTTTCACCTTTTTTTCTTCTTCAAATAACTCTATTTGTAGGCTCAGCAGATACACTAAAACAAGGTTTGGTTAATACTTTAGGTAGGGAGACCAAAAAGGCATGACAATGAAGAAAGGACCAGGTTAGGATCTGATTGTATTATGGGGATGAAATTATTATGACTAAGGTGCCATGTGGGCAAAAGAAGACTTACAAGTGTTGAAAATAAAATTCATACCAAACTCTTTAAATGTCTTATGTAAGACAAATTAGGAAATTTTAAGATTGGTTTATTGATAGCCTATTGATCCTCTAACCAGAAAAAGTATATGGCATCAATGGATGTGACAAAAAGGTTGGATACTTGATGTGGGGGGTGTTTCTTCAAGCTCTGGTACATTTTTCAGTGTGCTAATCTGACCCCATTCTGCCTTAATTTCAATTTTATTTACATCTTGTCCAATCCTCTCAAGTTGAAAACAGACCCAGAGAATGTGACCACATGATGCCTTCCTAAAAGACTATCTAAGGAAGTGCTTCCAATGCCCATATTTATGGTAATTAAGAAGACAATGAGCAATCACTTAGAGGAAATATCCTCTAATCTGGAGATGATATTGAATTGGAACTTTTCTCTTCCAGGAACAGTAGACTTTGGAAGTAGTGAGTCACCTTTATACACAACAATATATGAAACAGGTAACGCTTCTATCTTGTCTTTCCCTTTTCGAGAATCTCTAATGAGTTTGGACAGAGAAAAGGGTTGATGCAGTTATGTGAGCATCATTAAATCTCAGTCTGGATTCAGTTCAATTTATTCCACATACATTTATTAAATGCATCACATGATCAAGGTATGTGGTAGTCACTGCTGATACACATATAAAAATCAACACATTCCTGCCTCAAAAATTTGCAGTTTTCTGGGAGGAGGCATGATGTATACACATAAGAATAATATAAAGTGAATGGGGGCATAGAGGATTAAGGGAATGAGAGAAGAGATGAGAAAAGATTTCAAGATGGACACAGCACCTGAGGTATACCTTGATGGAAGTCAGGCATTCTGAAAGACAGAGAGAGATGAGGAGGAAGCACATTCTAGGTAGAAGAGATAGCTCTTGAGAAGGCATGTGGGGATATCAGATATAGTGTCAAGTTCAAAGATCAGCTAGTTGTATATACTTACACTTTATGACTTCTTATATAAAATCATCTCACGTTAGGAATCTACATGTGAAGAGATGGTCATTTCTGAATGCAGAATTTCTAAAGCCCAGGGCTTCACATCTATTATTTCATCATCAAATAAAATAGAAGCTCTGTGGTTGACCATCTACTCTGAGGGGATTTATATTTGTTGAATCAAAAGAGAGAGTATTGACCTTTTTTTGTGAGGTGTTGAGGGGGCATCTTTGCCGTGCTCAAATTGTGCATAGACGTGTGAGTCAGTAATCTCATCTCAATGTCCAGTTATCTCAATAAGCAATCTTGAGTCAAAGTCATTCTATTTAGTTGAGATACTCTGATTTGATAGGCTGGGTCCTCAATAACCACTGATCAATATAGGGTGCCCCAAAAGTGCATTTTTAAGTCTTAGTAGCTTAATAGGTTAATACTAAGACTTTTGGAAAACTTTATTTATTTATGTCCTTCATAAAACATACCGTCATCAGGTGCTTGCATCATAGACAGACTGCTGGACTTGGAGTCAGGAAGACTCTGAGTTAGAATCCTTCCTTGGACATTTATAAGCTATATATGACCCAGGTCAAGTAACTTGATTTTCTTGATCTCAATTTTCTCATTTTTAAAATGGTGATAATAAGATCACCAATGCCAAAGGGTTATTGTGAGAATCAAATGTGATATTATATGCAAAACATTTTGAAAGCTTTAAATTATTATATCATTAAATATATATTTCCACCATATAAATTAGCAGTTCCCATTATTATTTGTTAAATGGATCATACTGAAAAAGATTGATGACTTATATTTCTGAGAATATTTTGGCCTCCTGAAGTTGTCACAGCAAGATCTGGACTGTTTTATAAAAAGGAACCTAGCATTTGTTTCTGACAAAATTATTCCTACTTTCACATATGGAAAAATTGGCCTTGATAACCACTAGGAAGGAAAGAAAACAGTAAAGAGAATGGTCCATAAGCATCACAATTTTTTTTTCTCTAGGGTTGGAAGTCATCAAAAGGTCTGCCTTAATGCCTAGTGCCTAGGTTTGAAAACCACAAGAGAATGTAGGAGATTGACATGGACCTCAAAATGCTTAATGCAATGTTATTTACATGATCCAGTATTCCCCATATCTCATTAACGACAGTTGAAATTTTTGGGTCTAGAAAGTGACCATTTGGGACATCTACAAATCATTGCTTGTTCCAATCCCTCAGAGTCAGCTACTGTGCTGTGTCTCAGAATCTGACATACATATGAGAGAGCTTGAACCATCTCACAAAGATGTCCCTGGCCAAGGAGAAAGAGTATGGAACAAGTGATTGCCATTCAATTTCCTACTTTCCAAATCCTTATCATTCCTAGAGTATGTAAATGCCGTCTGTTTTGAAACCATACAGAGGAATTATTCTGGATGTGAACAGTTCAATACTAATTTCTGTGGGAGAAACACAACCATCTTTCAGATGTTAAGGATATTTCCATAGAAATTTTTCTCGTAATTTTATGGAGGACAAAATTTCTTTCCATTCCTACTTCTCTTGGTTTTCTCCCTTGTCCTTTCTTTCTTGTCTACCTTCATTCATTCTTCTCTTTCTCCTCATACCATTCTTTCCTTTCCTCTTTCCTTTCCACTTTTCTTCCTTTGCTTTACCCTTTCATTCTTCTCCTCTCCTCCTCTCCCTCTTCTAATAACTCTCTTTTGGAGGCTCAGAAGATCTATCTATCTATGGGTCATTTCCCTAAATTGGTGTGGAAAGACCAAAAAGTCAGGACCATAAAGAAATTATTCTTTTAGTGTCTGTGTGATGGAGATAACATTGCCACTGAAATATAAGGTGAGCAGAGTAGCACTTAGAAGTGCTGAAAATCAAAATCAGACTCAGCTTCTCCAATATCAGATATTAAATAAATAAGGAAGTTCTAAGCTTGGTTTATCAATAGCCCTTCAATGAAGGAGAATATATGGCAGACCCGTGTCCCACAAAGAGGTTGAATACTTGCTAAAAGTGGGATAGCTCTTACCCCCTAAGTCTCTGATCCCCTCTTCATTGTGCTATCCTGACCTTAAGACATGATTTAAAGCAGATTTCCCGCCTCAGTAATTCCAGCCCCTTTGGAGGTTTTGGAAAGTGTTTAAGCACCCAAAGACTTCATCCCTGAGGAACACTGAAATGGAAATGCTTTCCTTCTTCTTTTGCTTCAGATTCCAGTCTGGCCTTGACACTGGTGAATGGAGGAGACAGATGCCAGGGTCGAGTTGAAGTCAGATACCAAGGCTCCTGGGGCACCGTTTGTGATGACAGCTGGGATTTGACTGATGCCAACGTTGTTTGTAGGCAGTTGGGCTGTGGATATGCTTTGTCAGCTCCAGGATTTGCCCATTTTGGTCAGGGCACTGGCAGAATTGTCCTGGATGATGTGCAGTGTTCTGGATATGAATCCTACCTGTGGAACTGTCCCCACAGCAGGTGGCTGTCCCACAATTGTCAGCACAGTGAGGACGCCAGTGTTATCTGCTCAGGTATTGTCTCTTTGGGAAACACCTGTTGCTTCTTTTCTGGAGTGGATTCTGTCAGGGGATCATTTTCTTCCTGGCTGAGATGCTTCTTGTCTTGAGCTTGCTGAGAGTTTTTTTATGCCCAGAAATGTCCACAAGTTTCTCTGAGCTGGAAAGTATTGAGGATCAGTGACTGTTGGATTTAGGGAGAAAATTTGGTTTATTTTTCCAAAAGTAATAACATTTCAAAATAAGGATTGTTCAGGGAAAGGTCAGTGCTGGAGGAAGAGCCCTACTTTGGGAGTCAGAGAAATGGGTTAAAAATTTGACTGTCTTTAATTATTTCTATAACCTTTGCAAGTCACTTAATCAACTCTGGGCCTCAGTTTCCTTGCAGGTGAAGGGAAGAGGCCAGACTGGATACCTTTTCATATCTCATCTAGCTCTAATTTTATTATCTTATCATTCTGTTACTCATGCCCCCTTCTAATTCCTAGAAAATTTCAAAGGAATCAAAGGTACCTGGTTTTCCTCTAAATATTTTGAGTCCAATTTCTTTTTTCTCAAATAAGAGAAAACTCCTTCAAATTTGAACAAGGTGAAGCCTTGTGGACAAGACAAAACCTTTATCTGATAGGCACTATTTGCTTGAACTCTGTAGATTCCAGAGACTAGTCTTTCAGAAGACATCCATCCTACACTTTAAGTTGAAACAATGAGTTATGGTCTTTTCCCCCAATGGCACAATTATCAAGCATAGTAATGTTCTGATCACTCATATGAACAAAAACACGCTTTATTGATGGCATTTAGTTTCTTCATGCTACTCAAGGAAGGCTAGAGCTTGAGCAATCATTCCCAACTTAAGATTATTAAAGTTGATGAAACTGAGCCTGAGATGTTAAGGGATTGACCAAAGATCATCTAGCTAGTAAGTGACAGAGTGCTGAGACTTGAACTCAGACTTCTCACTTTTTTGGTCCAATGACCTTAGCTCCTCGTTCTTGATCCCTAATTGGGCCTCATTGGGCTTGGCTCTGTGATGGCTATGTCATATTGGTTAGGATTCAGTGGTAACACTATTGACAGTTATGTGGCTAATATTGGCCCATTTTCTTTGGCCCCAAGGTCAGCCAGCATAGCTCAGTGATGTCCCTTGAAATGAGTCCCTTTTGTACTGCCCTCCAGGAATTCTTCAAGGACAGAAGACTTCAAGGAGAGAACCCACTAGCCAGGAGCTCTGTAATGGGGATTCCATTCACGCGTGTGTTGGCCTAGGCTGCTATTAGGATTCCTTTCAAATCTCAGATTCTGTGACTGTGTGAATTTGTTGGTGATCTTTGCGATTTATGCTACGTACATCCCTCATTCCTTGGTGGGCTGGGAGCATTGACTTCCTGTTCCTACCTGTGACTTCTGTCTGTGTCTGATTTGACCTTTTCTCTCTTGTAGAAGCTAGTTCATCAAGTCCACCCTACTTTGGTAAGTCTCAGTTCTTTCTTGTTCATCATTACGGCTTTCTATATGGGAAAATCCTGATTTGTTTTCTAGTACTGTACAGAGATGATGCTTTTCCCCTCTGTAGTGTTACATGTGAGATGAGCAGAGACTTTGTTAAAAAAAAACCCCAAAAACCCCAAAGACTTTCTTTTAGTTCTAGTGGCTAAATACTTCTTCCATTAGATTGACCCTTCCTGGGTGCTGTGATGGGTCACAGATTTTGTCCTATTGGCAAAGTTCCTTTATAGCTCCAATTATTCTGACTTAGCTTTTGTCTTTTGATTCTTTTAGTTTTACAAATACTACCAAAGAAAGAGTTCCATATGAAAAGTGACCATGCCTACTTTCTATTTTAAAACTTTCAGGCCATAGCTAACTTGTCATTTCTAGCAAATTACATGAATGAAAGTTATCCTCTCCTCTGCAATTTAAAATTCTGAACTATTGTCGGTTCTCATCTTCTGTTGTCTCTTCCCCTATTTTCACCTTCCCCTCTGATCTTTTTTCTCTTCCTCCTTTCCTTCTCTTTTTTACTTTTGAATTTAATAAACCTCGCTCTACCTCCATTGTTTTATTTTCCAAGCTATTATTTTGAGATAAGTGAAGAGTCACTATGGTTTCTACCTGCTGTTCACAATTTCTTATCTCTTAAGTTTACAATAACAGATTTAAAAAATTTTTTTCCCTTCCCCTAGCTGTGCTTTGCCTTACTTTCTTTTCCCTTGCCTTTCCTTTCTGCCATTATCTCTTCCTCCTTTCAGCTTTCTATTGCTTTGCTTTGGTTTCTTCTCCAGCCTTTTCCCAAGAACATAATATTAAACCTTGCATGATTTTGGCTTCTTAAAGAAATGCCTTTAATTCCAGTTTATTTGCAACTTGTCCAGTCCTCCCATTTTAAAAACAAAGAGACCCACAGAAGGTGACAATATGATGTTCTCCTGAAAGACTATCAAAGGAAGTGCTTCTCATGCCAATATTTGTGGCAATGAGGAAATGAGCAGTCACTTTGAGGGAATACCCTCTAATCCTGAGATGAGTTTCAATTTGATCTTTTCATTTCTAGGAAAGACAGACTTTCCAACTTCTCAATCACCTTTACACACAGAAACACATGGAACAGGTAACATTTCTTACCTTGTCTTTTCCTTTTTGTGAATCTCTAATGAGTTTTAGTCAGAGAAGAGTTGATACAAAGATATGAGCATCTTTAAATAGCAACTCAATTTATTCCACATCCTTTTACGAAATACATCAAATGTTCAAGGCATGTGCTAGTCACCATGGATAAACATATAAAAATAGATACATTCCTGTCTCCCAAAATGTGCATTTTGCTAGGAGACTTCATGATGTGTGGCAATAAGTGTAAAATAAGGTAAGTGGAGGCATAGAGGATTAAAGCTGAGGGGACGAGGAAAGATGTCCTGATAGAGATGGCACTCGAGGCAAAGCTTGGTGGAAGTCAGGCATTTTAAAAGGCAGAGAGAGATGAGGAGGGAGTGCATTCCATGAGAAAGGGACAACTTACATGAATGTATGCAGGTATGACATAAAGTCTTGAGTTTGAGGTCTCATATCTTTTCATCTAATATTGTCTAAGTTTTGAGATACATTCTCTATGTGCACAACGATGTCTATGGATAAATCAGGTTGTGAATAAATTCATCCTCTTGAAGTCAAAGGTTCTACCTTCTGTGTACCCTTCTAAGAGCAGAGAGATCTTCAATCACTACTACTAATGAATAGTGAAATATATGTACTTGTTGCATTTATGTAGTGTGCAGTCATCATTGGATCTCTTACTAAGCTTGATGTTAGTTTTTTATTTTATTTTATTTTATTTCATTTTTTTATTTTTAGGCAATGGGGGTTAAGTGACTGGCCCAGGGTCACACAGCTAGTAAGTGTCAAGTGTTTGATCTGGATTTGAACTCAGGTCCTCCTGATTCCACGGCTGGTGCTCATATCCACTGCATCACCTAGCTGCCCCATGATGTTATTTTTGGAGAATATTTTTAGAGAGTCTCAGGTTCCAAACTAAATCCTTTCCTCTACTCCATGTAAACCTCTCCATCATTGGTTGCAACTTGTGCTTTTGGACGTGTCTTTGTGGAATGCTCTTTGGTATTTATTTCCTACATTATTATTCTCGCCACCACAGCCAAGGAAACTGACCTTAACATGACCTCTTTTAATTTTTCCTTTCAGGAAGAGCTCAGGGGATAAACCATGAGAGATTGAATGCAGTCAGATAGGAGGGTTCACTGGCATCTTGTATTTCTCAGTAGCCACGGCTGTAATGTGACTGTGTCTTTATACAACGTCTTTGTGCTCATGTGGAATAACGAATGAGGGTCCAGATTAGGCTCTGTTTGCTGATGCTACGTGTACAGATGTAGGTTTAGATTCCTATGTGGAAATGTGAGAGAACTAATGGAAACTAAAGATTATTATTTCTTTGTTTTGTTTTGGGCTAGGCAATGGGGTTCAGTGACCTGCCCAGGGTCACACAGCTAGTAAGCATTATGTGCCTGAGGTCCTCCTGAATCCAGGGCCAGTGCTCTGTCCACTGTGCCATGTAGCTGCCCCTAAGATGAAGATTCTGAAACACAGTGTCAACTACATGGGCCAAGATTCCCCATGCTTCTTTACCTGCTGAGGAGGCTTTTTGGCTCCAGAAAATCATCTGGAACAACTACCAATTGCCCCTTGTTCCCGTTCCCTGGTGTCAACCATTGTATTATGTTCTAGAACCTGTTGTAGGACTGAGTTAGGACCATTTTGCTAGTATGACCCTGGTTGAGGAGGCAAATTGTGGACCAAGGAATCCTTGGGTATCTTTCCTATCTTCCAATTTTCATTGTCCCTGGAGGTGCCAGATGCTTTCTGTCCTGAAAGTAGATTTTGTATGTCTTTCCAGAGAAAGGTATTTCATCATCTTCAGGAGGAAAATAGTACTTTCTACTTACTCCTTCAATCTTCTTTCTTTTTCTTTCTTTTTTCTTTCTTTGTTTCATTGTTTCTTTCTTTCCTTCTTTCTTTCTTTCTTTCTTTCTTTCTTTCTTTCTTTCTTTCTTTCTTTCTTTCTTTCTTTCTTTCTTTCTTTCTTTCTTTCCTTTATTTTCTTTTTCTCTTCTTCTACTATTCTTTTTTCCTTCATTTCCTTTTATCCTTCACTTCCTCCTTTTTTTTTTTTTTTACTATTTTCACTTCTCTCCTTTCTCCTTTATTAGATATTTCCTTCATAGACTAACCTGACCTTTTTTTAAAGTTTGGATCATATACCTAACTGGAAGGGTAGAAAGCAAAAAGGCACAATGATGAACAAGTGATCATTTTAATACCTGATTATTTTATAGCGGGAAATTCCTACCCATTCAGATGCTACAGGAGGCAGAGATGCACTTAGAGCTTTTGTAAATAAAAATTCCAGTGAGGTCTTCATAATATTATGTAGGATAAATTGGGAATTTTTTTTTTTTTTGCTTAGGCAATCAGAGTTAAATGACACACGCAAGGTCACACAGTTAGTAAGTGTCAATGTCTGAGGTTGGATTTCAACTCAGGTCCTCCTGACTTGAAGGCTAGAGCTGTATCCTTTCCGCCACTTAGACGCCCCTGAAATCAGGGAATTTTAAGCTTTCCATGTAAACACTCTGCTGAGCTTCAGACTAGGGAGTAACAAAGGAAGGAATAATACCTTTTGTGGATGTGATAGCCTTTTGATATCCTATTCATTGTGTTACTTTCACACTAAGAGACACCTAAAGGAGAGTTGCCACCTCAGCAATCTCAGCCCTTCTGAGCTTTGAGGGAAGTCTCTAAAAGCCCTGAGATTTCATTCCTGAGGGAGGACACTGAAATGAAATTGTTCTCTCCCCCTCTCTCCCTTGGATTAGATTCTGGTCTGGCCTTGACACTGGTGAACGGAGGAGACAGATGCCGGGGTCGAGTGGAAGTCAGATACCAAGGATTCTGGGGCACCGTTTGTGATGATGACTGGGATGTGACTGATGGCAACGTTGTGTGCAGGCAGCTGGGCTGTGGATATGCTGTGTCAGCTCCAGGATATGCCCGTTTTGGTCAGGGCACTGGCAGAATTCTCCTGGATAACGTGCGGTGTTCCGGGTCTGAATCCTATCTGTGGTCCTGTCCCCACAATGGATGGCTGATCCACAACTGTCGGCACAGTGAGGATGCCAGTGTCATCTGCTCAGGTATTGTCTCTCTGGCAAAGTCCTGCTGCTTCTTTTCTGCAAGGGCTCCTATGTTATAGGAGCAGGCTCCTTTTCACCTTCCTATAAATATTCATCCAATGAACTGAGCTCATATTAAGAATTCTTCTGTTAGATACATCCCCCAAGTACTTGTTCAGTCTGAGACCCTTCCTGACCCCTTAGATGGAACTTGTGTTCTTACCTTGTCCTAGCAACAGTGTTAATATATATCTTGTATTGTTTTAAATTAGAGCTTATTCTTATGTTTCTCTCTAATGATTTCCCTAAAGTTTTTTTCTGGCAATGTCACTTCCTGTTCAATACTTCCATTTGGTGGAAGAGAAGGGAAAGAAAACACATTTAATTTTTTTTTCCTTTGAGGCAGTTAGGTTAAGTGACTTGCCCAGAGTCACACAGCTAGTCAGGGTTATATGTCTGAGGCCGCTTTGAGCTCAGGTCCTTCTGACTCCAGGGCCAGTGCTCTATCCACTGTGCAAGAAAACACATTGTTGGACTTCCACTTCCAGGAGCCAAGATAGTGGAGTAAGAGGTGAGTCTCTCTTACTCTCCCTTATTAACCCCTGAAACCACTGAAAATATCACACCAGGAAAAACTGTGGAACAGCTGAACCAGAAGAAAGATGGGGTACAGCAGTCCATAGCCAGGTAGCTTGAGGGATTAACTGGGAAGTGTCTTCTTGCCCTGGGGGAAGGGGAGCAGTATAGAATGGGAGGCATCCCAGCAAGCTAGCAGAAAGCCCACCTCAGCATAGTAGGAGGAGATTCTGAAGCCCAGGTGGTAGAGCAGGCAACATATGGGGAACCTGTGGAAACCAGCTCAGAAAACCATCAGGTGCCTTTGCATTCTACAGCAACTGGCTCTCCTAGGCCTCAGCACAACTAAGGGAAGCAGCACTCCAAAGAGCCCCACCCAGGTGGATAAACACCCTACAATACCCAACTGCAAAGAGCTATAGAAAGCAAAAGGAAGAAAGCCTGGGTGAGTAGCAAATCTCCAGGAGCCACCCTACCTAATCCTACTCCTGGAATTCTTTGCTGTTTCCAGCCCAGCACCAGGTAAGCGGCCAGAACCCTACATACTCCACCTGCCAACATTGGAAGCCCCAGCCCAGAAAGCCAGTGACCAGGCACTAGGCTCCCAACACAAGAATGTTGGCTCAGTTCCCTCTGCTCCCCAGCAGGAGAGCCCAGTCTCTTTACAGGCCAGGAGATAAGCAAGCACCTTGAGCAAAAGGAAACATACAACAGATTCTTATCATGGGAAGAGTGAAGATCAAGGCAGAAATTCTAAAGAGGACAACATTGTGAACAAACCCACATCTGGAACTGGTGTGAAGCCCAAAAAGTCTTCTCAGAAGAGCTCAAGAAGGATTTTAAAAGTGAAATGAGAGAGGTAGAAGAAAAATGGAAAAAGAAACAAGAGGTATGTAAGAGGGAGTCAATGGTTTGGAAAAGGAAGGACAATAGGTAAGTGCAGAAAACAAGTCCTGAAAAAATACATTTGGCCAACTGGAAAAAAGTGCACTGAAGAAAACAAGTCCCTAAAAATATAATTGGCCAAATACAAAATCTGAGTGAAGAAAACAATTTGTTAAAAATTAGACTTGAGTAAATGGAAGCCAATGACTGTATGAGAGAGTGTGAATCAGTGAAACAAAAAGGCCAAAGAATGAAAAAAAAGATGAAAATGCAAAATATCTCATTGGTAAAACAACTAACTGGGAAATTTGATCCAGGAGAGACAATTTAAAAAGTATTGGTGTAGCTGAAAATCACGAGGAAAACAAGAGCCTGAACAGTATCTTTCAGGAAATCATAAAGGAAAGCTGCCCTTAGGTCCTAGACCCAGAGGGTAAAACAGCCATAGAAAGAATCCACCGATCACCTCCTGAAAGACATCCCCCAATTGAAAACACCAAGGAATATAGGAGCCAAATTCCAAAATTAGAAGGTCAAAGAGAAAATATTGCAAGCAGCCAGAAAGAAACAATTTAAATATCCTGAGACCACAGTCAGGATTACACAGGACCTTGCACCTTCTCTATTACAAGACCATAGAGCATGGAATATGATACTCCCTAAGGCAAAGGAGCTTGGATTACAACTGAGGATGAATGACCCAGCAAAAATGAGCGTGATCTTTCAGGGGAGAAGATGGATGTTCAATGAAAGAGGGGAGTTCCATACCTTCCTGATAAAAAGACCAGAGCTCAACAGAAAATTTGATCTTCAAATACGAAACTCAAGAGAGATATGAAAAGACACAACTCATCCAGATGGTGATCTGGATGCTTCAGCATCAGCTTCTGATCCAACTGCACACATAAGTTTGCGTGATGATCCTCCCCAACAAAGAAGAGAGTCGAACACAAGAGGGGGATGTCCATCACCACGTGCATGGAGGGCAGAAGCCTGAACACACCCAATGCCCTGAGGTTTGGCTCACCAACCAGCAGTGATGACATGACCCTCAGAAGTCCAAGCATGGAGAACTGCAGTGCTGACCTGCTCCCCTGTGGAGAGTCCCCACTCAATAAAAGAAAGACTGAGAATCGGTTGGCCAGGTTGTCGGAGCACGAGCGAGGAGGCGTCCTGATTGTCCCTACTGCTCACAACCCTGAAGATCTCCTCATGTTTGCCAGGCTATTACATTATTTCTGGGGATGCAATCACTTGGAAGAGATCGTGTACATGGAAAACATGTGGTGATCTCAACTGTGGATGTTCTTTGAGAAGTTCTGAAGTTTCCTGGTGGTCACCAGCCACTAGGACTCAGTTATTTCAGTTTTATGGTCACTTCTAAAGTGAATGGGAAGTTAGCCCCCTGCTCAGAGAAGCACTCACTGTAGAGAATTCTTTGAGCCAGCAAGGGCCAGAGGGGATGGCGAGGCATTCCACAAAAGGAGTGGCTATCCTGGGACCACGGTTGGTTTCCTCTCAGGCTCTAAGTTGGCCCTTCCTCTTATTCCTCCTTTTGTGAAGCAGAATGACTGTGTGCATTCCTAAGGAGTACAGTATTAGTGAGATCGAAAGGCCCACTTCTTTGGACCTTGAATTTTGGATATAGGTGGAGGGAAGAGTATTTGGTGGCTCAGTTAAGCTTGAGGAAAATGCCCTGAAATAACATGATTTTAATTCACATGTTAGTTTCCTAATCTGGAATCAGGTATAGGCTCTAACTCAGCTTGAGCCTAGTGCTGGATTGTGGCGTGGTGACTCCCTCCAGCCATCAGCCCTTCTTCTTAGCTTGCCAGTCATTCCTGGACCTGTGGCCATCCTATGTATTTGGTAGTTGTCAGCCTCAGGTTGGTGGGGTAGGGAAAGCTGAGAAGACTTCCTTTCCCTGCTTGAGTAGTGTATGATTTTTGTAAGGTTCTCTTAAAGGCTAATCTTCCCAACCCAACCATGGTTCATCCCCAGAGCTAAGGGGCTGTTGAGAATACTGTAGGAAAATAAAAGAGCCAGAAATTATCTTTCTAGCTACTCTGTCTCATGCCTTTCCCCTGTCCTTTATAATTGTCATTCAGCCTCTGTAAGGAGTTCCTTCCCCCCATATAAAGAGGGGTACAGCCCCTTGACCAGTTCCCCCGCCCTAATTCTCATAAAAGCCATTATGTAAAACACGGCTCAATCCTTTGGACCCTTCCCATGCAGATTGGCCTGAATGCCTTGACAGTGAGGGACTGCTGCTAGCCAGGAGACCCATAAGCATTAGCGATAAGGCAACGGGAAAACAAGAGTTTCTCTCCATGCTGTGGCAGCCACCCCTGGTGAGATTCACAGCCAATTGGGTCATTTTTGTCAGAGCCTCTTCCCTACCCTGTAGAAGAAACACATTTCTATGCAAAAAGAAAAAAAGAGAAAAAAAGAAAATACATTTATTAAGCACCTACCTTATTCCAGGCTCTGTGCTAATCAATTTACAAATGCTATCTCATTTGACCTCCACAACAAGACTGTGAGGTAACTTGTTTTGTTATTCCCCTTTTCCTAATTGAGGAAACAGGTAAGAGTAAATGCCTTTGTAGGGTCAGAAAGCTAGTAACTATCTGTGGCTGAATTTCAACTCAGGCCTTTCTGACTGCAAGCTCAGGGGTCTCTCTACTGAGCCGCTAAACCCTAACCCCAACACTAACCCCTAAGTCCTAACCCTAAACCTAACCTTAACCCTCACCCTAACCCTAACCCTAGCACTATGATTCCTTTCTAACCCTAATGATTCCTTTCTAATCCTTTCTAACCCTTATGATTCCTTTCTATGATTCTATGATTCCTTTAGAACCCTAACCATAACCCCAACCTTAACTCTAACCCTAACCCTAACAGCAATTGCTTAGGAGATACTTATTGGTAGACTTTAGGCATCCTGCCAAAAAAATGTGTCCTGTGAAATATGATTGTGTTTAAACTTTGGACTTCATTCTTCTTACAGATGCCACTACAGTGATTCCACCAACCCTTGGTAAGTCTGTTTCCTTTTGCACTCAGCACCAAGGCTTTCTACTTGAGGAAAACCTGCTTTCTCTAAGTGATGCAGGATGATAATGTTCCTGCTGTGATGTCCATCGCATGAGCTGAGATCATGTTAAGAAGTCCCAGTTATAGCCCCAACATATCTGATCCATCTTACTGATGCTTCTGGGAAATTTCAACAGTCATGGTCTCTTGATGTAATGCTATTGAATAAGTTTCTGTATTACTTCACTGTTTTGAATCAGAGATGGTCATTATAATTCTTGTAGTTTTAAAAATATTGTCAAACAAAAAGCTTCCTTCCAAAGCTCTATCCTATGTAAATCAATTCTGTTGGAGGTAAGCAGGCTCAAGTGACTTTTGCTCAGGGTCATCCAGCTAATGAAGGTCTAAAGCAGTATTTGAACTCAGGTCCTCCTGATTCCAGGACAAGTGATCTAGTCACTGTGTCACCAACTGCCTCTTAAATTCAATTTTAAATTATCGGGTGAGAGACGAGTACTTGT